TTACTGAACTTGTTTCAGGCGCCAACCAAGGCTCTGGCGCTGCCGCTGGCTTAAACATCTACTGAGCCTTGGACCCTTGACCGTTCTTTAAAAAATTGGACACGGACGCACTTGATTCCGTGATAGAGGCCGCCGCCCTTGTCGTGCTTTTTCTTCTCCTTACTATGTAGGAAGCGCGACGCTTGCGCCGTTAGTTAGCGGGCTCGAAAACCGAAGCGGCGCCGAAGGCTCACGATAACGTCTTGCCCGGCACTGGCGCTGGCGTTGGCGCGAACTCGCTTGGTGAGATGTCATTTCTATCAGTCCACGCACTCGTCTACAGGTCCACTTAGGAAGAAACTGTTACACCTAAAGACCTAACACCTATCTAAGTCAGCGTTTCTCCAACCCCCCTTTTCCCTTTTTTCTCCAATGCAAAATCCTGCCTTTTTTTTCAATTTAGGTAACTGCTTTTTCCCTTAATTGTCTTTAAACATACCCATTTCCTTTTCTTTTATTAGCACCTCGTTCCTGCAGTAGGGTAGTGGTTTTGTGTCACCGTCACCGTCACCGCAAGGCGCAGCTCGTCTTGGGGCTTAAATGGCTTAATAGCTTAATGGACGGGTTGCAACCCTGGGTACAGGATGAGAGAGAACTGGGAAAAGCCGTGTTCTTGATTAAGTAAAAATGGAAGCGGTTTACTTTTTTCCACCTCCACCATTTTTTGTGGAAAGGGTATCCTAATCACGACGACGGCTCATTACTTTTTCCTTTTTTTTTTTTTTATCTCCCCTAACCCCAGAGATACATAACATACCTTGCACCAACCGCTCCCCTTTCCGCCACAAAAAAAGCTTGGCTTCACCTTTTTTTTTCGTCTTGACGGGGGTTAGCGGAAGTTGCCTCTACCGGTACTCTAGTGACCACTCATCTTAGATTCCCTCTAGGTCAAGCTCGGAATTGAGCCGCTACTTACCTAGCTAGCTACCTAGGTATACCGTATAGGTATTCGACTACAGCTGTACTTATGTAGGTGACGGTGAAGGGGAGCCAATTGTCGATAGGGGTGTTTATCTCCAGCGCCCATACCAGCTAGCACCGACAAGCACCGACACACAATTCTCGGTTCTGAATTCTTGTTGGCTCCCCCGCGTCTGGGTCTCAGCAAAAGCCGATCATTTTCCTGGTGGTCTGGGTCGTGCGTGCATAGGTACTGGTCACGCATTCGCGCGCGAGCTACCACATCGGGCTTTTCGCCAACTGTTCATTGTTACTCAGGTCGGCGACTAGGCAAATTGACAACTGCGAAGATCCTTTCTTGGCGACACCCATCTCTTGGCGCGCCCTGCAACTGAAGATGCTGTGCTCACCATCCACAAGGGAAACCGCTGCATGTCTTGGAGAGATCGTTCATCGTTCATCCGAACGAAGAGGCGACTAAACTACCTACGAGAACCCGAACGGCTTGCTTAGATGCGCATCGTACGTGGCATGCCTATGTCATCGATCGGGTCCTTGCAGGTCCCCTTTTACATATCTCTACTCTTTTTTGTTTTCTTTGCCTACTTATCCTCTATCAAGGCCGAACGTCGACCTGGGGTGCGTAAGCATCCTGTCCTCTGCCGTCCCTCCCGCGCGCGCGCACACACATAATTTCACGCGCCTGCCTACATACATACATACATAATCCGGGTCCGGCATATTTTTATTTTATTTTATTTTTTTCTCTCTTGGTCTAACGGCGGGCAAGGGTTCGTTGGCCCCGTATCCATGGCCCTGGGAATATGGGATTTAAATCTTTTGCTGGGAGTCTTGAAGGTACACATACACAAGAGCTCGTGATCCCGCCGAAGGTGCCACAAAGATGTGTGTTTCTTTACCGGTCCTTCCTTGCCTTTGCCCTACGTACCTACTATCTAGGTAGGTACTTAAGCTACATACATATTACCTACAGTACCTTTAGAGGAGAGGGGCGCGCGAGAGAGAGTGAGGAAGAGTGAAAGAGAGATACCTAGAGAGGCCACTCACTCACTCACTCACTCGCCCGCTCCGGTGTAAGTAAATTGCTGTCCCTGATTCGTAGCCGAGACCCACGGGTAAGCCACCCCAGTTTTGGGGGTCCTGGTGTCCCATATGTATTTCAGCTGGGCCTCTCCGCGCGGCGCGATCCTTCGAGAGACGCACGCCCCCGGGAGGCAAGCTTCAGGCATGTACGCGAGAGCTAGGTCTCGGGTCTTTTTTTTTGTGTGTTTTTGGTTGCCTTGCGCTGGGGTGGTTAGAGGAGAGCTCGGCGGAACGGAGGTTATGGAGGCTCCGCCCTTCGTGTTTCTTCTGAGCTGGAAGGACTGCTGGATAGATAGGTATCCATGGATTGTCTGGTAGGTCTGTAGGCTGGTAGGTATGGGATGTAAAAGTCGGTAGGTAATAGGTAGGTAGGTAAGTACACTGCCTGCCCGTCTGTATGTGTGTATGCGTGTATAACCCGAACCCCATTCGACAGGTTCGTAGTGTATGTCTAAGTGGACTGGGCTCCCTCCGCCGTTGGAGGGAGGCGGACGCCACAGACGATCTACCCCGGCGGACGAGGCCTCTCTCTTTCTCTCTTTTCTCCTTGACTTTCCTTGTCCACCTACCTACATACAGTAACTAGATAGGTAGGTAGGTACGTATCACGGTGTATACATACATACCTTGACTGCATATACACACATGCATCTCTGCCAGCAAGCAAGCAACCTAGTTCGTAAACAGACGGTTCTAGACATCCGCCCACCACACAGGTGATCGACGGCGCCCAGACGGCCCGAGGCGGCATTTGGGATGAATGGATTTTTTTGGTCTGGCTCGATGCGGCCAATAGCGGTTTTTTCTCGACATCGCGCTTGCGATGATGATGCCTTTTGGGGAGAGGGGAGGGGGATGGGGGGGAGGGGGTTAGATAGATAGATGGCTGGATGCGGGTTAGATGGGTTGGTGCTATTAGACCTAGGTGAGGTACTATTAGATATTGGTACTGATTGGGTTGTGCGGTGGATGTACTGGGCTGTATGGAGGTAGGTGTGTATGTGCGATGGGTATGGGTATGGGTATAGGGAGATCGGATTGATAGAGGGAGGGACTTGGATTCCGTCATTTTTTTCTCCGTTTAGCTGCTGGCTAGGTAGAGGCATGTAGGTAGATACTTAGATCTACTCACTCTACCATAGCACGTAGGTAGGTACTGTGTTTGCATACCTGCCTACCTAAGCAGGTAGCTAGACTGCTAGAGATCCAGATAGATACGACTAGCAGGATGGATGTATCCAGACCCGTGATCGCGGCTTTTTGTGCGAGATCGCAGATGGGAATGTCTGACAACGGCACGGCCGGCAGGGCGGGCGAGCTTCGCTAGGCTAATACCTAGAGGCCAGATCAGTTACGGGGTTTCTGGTGGTAATATGTCTCGCATCGACTGCTTTTTTTGGTTTATGTCTTTCGTGTCTTGGGGTTTTTTCGTGACGGGTATATGCTCGTCATTCACTTTTTTTTTTTTTGCTCCGTTACCCGTCCGTGTACGTGGGGGAAAAGGAGACTATTGAGAGACATAATGAGTGATCAGATAGATACCCGTCCCGTCCGAAGCTCGATCTGAATCCGAAAAAGGATTTGCCGTCTAGGTACGGTATGTATGTACCCATTATCTTTCCTTTTGGGTCTAGAGAGGGGCTTGACGATACTGTGCTGTAATCTTTTCTCCGCTAGGCCATCGTGAAGGAGTCGGAGCCTTTCGTGCTCGGAGTGTGGTATCGTGTCGCGCAGCCTCTCTCCTCTCATATGACATAGCTGCATATCCAGATTCGTCTTTTTTGGTCCCCTTCCTTTCTCGCACCACATCATATTGCAGCAAGACTGCAAGAGTAGCGGTCCTGATAGGTACATGCCAGGTACAGGAAGGATGATGGAGCGGGGACTAGGACAGTTCGGTTTTTAGGGTACAATACAGCGTAATAGAGAGGAAGCCAAAGTAGTGTATATGTGGTGTGTCTCCAGCTGCGAAGTTCCGATAGTTCTGGTGATCGTCATTAACGCATCCACCGCGCCAAGACGGGGGATTGGCGCCTGGGCGCTGGGCAACTAACTGGGTTTACCTCTGTATTTTTTGATCTTTTTTTTTTTTTTGCTTCTTTTTCTTTTCACGTCACTGCCTGCTACCATCGTAGATACTAGTTAGGTACTCGTTCTTGCATACCTAGTCCCCATAGTATATCCCAGTATATCCCAGTATATCCTGGTATATCCTAGTAGTAGATTAGACGCTACAAGAATACGACATAGTGGCTCCCTCAGTGACGGATCGCTGGGTTCGCGCAGCCTTGCAGCTCAGTGCCGTACATACCGGACTAGGCAGATAGCGTAGATGTTTAATTCCTTTTTTCCTTCCTGCATAACTGGCAAATTACTTGCCGAGTCACGAAATTTCGCCGGCGGCCAGTTAAAGGCGCGGGATTGATTGTGGACTTTGCTTGTTTAGATAATTCCCGCCAAGATCTTTTATTGCCCGCGGAAGTTATGGGTTCGTGATGAGGGCTGTTCTATAATGAACCGTCCATCGAAAATCAAAATCAAAAATCTATGTGCCCCTCCCGTGCCGTCCGTGTAGGCGCCTTCCGTAAATCGCCTCGGTCCCTGGATGTGGTGCCCGATGTTCCCTGTCTATATGCCGATGAGCCGCACCTATATGTGACTGTGACTTAATGACTTAATGGCTTTTGATACTACGTGTGTTATGGTGGCTATGTGCGGTAATGGGGAATGCCGAGCCCGTGCCAAAGATGGAAAGAGTAAGAAAGTTCCTGAGGATGATCCACGATGTTGGCTATGTCGATGGACGGCAATTCGTCTTGGCGTGCTACGACCTCGAATGTTGCCGTTGCGTCGGTCACCTCGGTTCCCCATCGTAACTTCGTTGGGGATATCGAAAATGCGCTGAGAAATCGGAGGTTGGTCGCGTGTCATATCTTCCACTATCGAATCCCTTCATTTCTCAACATTTCCACTTCCACCGCCACCGCCATCTTCATCTTCGTCTCCATTCCTAAGTACTTTCGCTTCCATTCACAGCCACCGGAGTCAGCGCATCCGCAAAACGCAAAGTGACGGTGCCGGCTTTCTCGTCAACACGGACCAGGCTCACGGACTGTAGATCCCGCACGATCCAGTCCGGTTCCGCGGCCCGCACCTGCTCCGCCGAATGGCTTGTGACGAGACCTAGGACCTTGCACCCGGCCGCCTTTCCTGAACGGATACCCGCCGGACTGTCCTCCAAGACTAGGATCTGATCGCTGTCGGAGGGTGGAAGACCTAGTCTCTCTCGTCCTAAGGAGTAGCATGCCGGATCCGGCTTACCGTTTGCTACGCTCTCGGCTGTGACAAGGTTCGACGGCTGCGGTAGCTTGAGCACCGAGAGCCAGCCGTTGACGAGCGGCTCACTGCCGGATGTCACAATAGTCCAGCGTGCGCGAGCTGCGATCAGGGAGTCCAAAAGGGATCGGGCTCCCGGGATCTCAACGGCGTCGCCGCCGTGGAGTTTGGGGAGGAGGCCCTCCATGTTTCGCACATCTGCACGGCGTGTTAACTAGTCAGACACCTAGGGAGACATTTCAGGTACGGTAAGGTGGCGGCTTATGGGGTGAGTGTAGATATCGTCGCGGAGTAAAACAGTGCCAGGAACAGGAACATAATCAGGGGCAAAGCCAGGAACGGAGTAAGGGAGAGGATACGGAGTAGAACATGCGTAAGGGGAAGTTTTGCGTCAGGGGAAACGGGAAAAGGAGGGGTTGGGCCGAAACCGAACTCTAAACATCTAGGGCAGACTTAGACTCCCTTAAGAGTTGGGGAGTTAGATATGGATATAGTCTCAACTTACATTCCCAATTCGCCTTCTCCGGACTGAGGATCTTGAGCATGTCTATGCTTCGTCGGCCGTGAGACGTCTGGAGGATCACCTCAGGGTCTACGCCGATTTCCTTTCCGATGCTGTGCCTCTAGTTAGGATCGATGCGAACTAGATCTTCAGACGACTCACGTATGCCAGTGCTTGACGACTGCGGCGGTTGAATCGATGATGGTGCCGTCCATGTCAAATAAGAGGGCCTTGAAGGTGACCTCGAAAGGGGGTGCCGTGTAATCCATTTTGAGTCGTGCCCCTTCTAGTCAAATATTAGAAATTGATTTTAAACTTAAAGAGACGAATAAGGCGCAAATGAAAGAATGATATCGTAGACAACGAATGAACGAGTATAATATGAAATCTATTCGAAAGCTCTATAAAAAATGAAGTCGGAGTATCTTAAATGAGAATCTTAAAGTCTACGTACAACTAATAAGGTGTTGAGGCAAATAATGGCCAATCCGAATTAGGAAACTCCGCCCTGACCGTTCCGCATTTTGAGTTTGCAAGTTCGTTCTATGTAAGCAAAAAAGTTGAAGCCATCGTGACGCCGGAACGACCGCTGAAAAGGCCCGATTTTTAGGCGTCTTTCAGTGGACTCTTATCGGCAGGCGGGGTTGGCCAATCGGTAAGGTGGCTCTGGTGGGGTTATCTTTATCCTGGCAAATCGTGGCGGTGAATTGTGGCAGAATCACTCTTCCCACTAAAATTTGGAAACTTTTTGTGCTGATAACATTATCGCAACATTTTCATGTACCTAATCATTGCCAGGCACGGCAAGTAAAAATGGCCAACCACATCACAAAACCAAAGAGTATGTTAATCACACAGCTATTTCAATTGGAATATGAGATTAACTAAACAATTGTATAGAAGCCAAGTCGAAGCGGACACCCGTTCGTCTACGGCATAAGATCGAAAAGGCTTCCGCCTCGAAGCAGCGCAAAGCCAGAAAGGATGCGAAGAAGAACCCACAATGGAAGTCCAAGTTAAAGAAGGACCCGGGTATCCCGAACTTGTTCCCTTATAAAGAGAAGATTCTCCATGAGATCGAGGAAGGCCGACGAAGGAAACAGGAGGAACAACAGCGACGGAGAGAGTTGGCCAAGGCCGCAAAGACTGGTGCCACGGATGATGCCGAGAATGAGGAGACAATTATGGAAGGTGCAGAAGAGGATGGTTTCGATGGTTCCGATGAAGAATTAATGGATGAGGATGGTGCGGATGACGATTCAAACCCTATGGCTGCGCTCCTTGCGAGCGCGAGAGCAGCTGCCGAGAAGTACGACCGCGAACTACAAAGCGGAGACGAAATGGATGAAGACGAGTCGTCAGATGACGAAGCCGACTACGGAGACGGAACTACTGAGTTACGGACTCAGGGCTCGTCGCGGAAGGCCCACGATAAGGTCTTCAAGCAAGTCGTCGACCAAGCCGACGTAGTACTCTACGTCCTAGACGCCAGAGATCCCGAAGGAACGCGATCTAGGGAAGTCGAGCGCATGGTGATGGCCGCAGCAAGCGGCGGAAAGCGATTGATGCTTGTCCTCAACAAGATCGACTTGATCCCGCCACACGTTCTTAAGGACTGGCTCGCACACCTACGACGATACTTCCCAACCCTCCCCCTCCGCGCCTCCGGCTCCGCCCCCAACGCGCAAACCTTCAACCACCGCGATCTCACCGTCCAGAGCACCTCATCCACCCTCTTCAAATCCCTAAAATCCTTCGCCGCATCCAAGCAGCTTAAGCGCGCCATCTCAGTCGGCGTCATCGGCTACCCCAACGTCGGAAAGTCTTCCGTTATCAACGCCCTGCTCTCCCGCATGGGCCGAACCACAGCCGCCTGTCCCGCGGGCGCAGAAGCGGGCGTCACAACGAGCATCCGCGCCGTCAAGATCGACAGCAAACTAACCCTGCTCGACTCCCCTGGAATCGTATTCCCCTCCGCACCAGAAGGCGAATCCTCCTCCTCAAAGAAAAACGCCGTAGAAACACACGCACACCTCGTTCTCCTCAACGCCATCCCTCCGAAACAAATCGACGACCCCATCCCCGCCGTCGCCCTGCTGCTTAAGCGGCTCTCGGCGTCGTCGGAGCTCCTGCAGAAACTGATGGACGTGTACGATCTCCCGCCCCTGATAAGCTCTAACGGCGACGAAACGACGGATTTCCTGGTCCAGGTCGCGCGGAAGAGGGGCAGGCTTGGGAAAGGCGGGGTTCCGAATCTGGGGTCCGCGGCGATGACCGTGGTGACGGATTGGAGGGATGGCAGGATTCAGGGGTGGGTTGATGCGCCGGTTTTGCCGGTCGCGGTGGAGATGAGTGGTGCTGGTAAGGATGGGGGTAAGGATGAGGGTGTGTTGGTGGATCAGAAGGTGATTGTGACGGAGTGGGCTAAGGAGTTTAGGATTGAGGGGTTGTGGGGGGATGATGAGGGTAAGGGAGATGTGGTTAAGGGGGATGTGGTGATGGAGTGATATGCGTCTGTGAAGATTAGAGACTCTGGTGGTGATGGTGATGGTGATAGTGAGGTCTTCTGAGTGGCTTTATGGCTTTGGGAGTTATGGGTTCAGGAAAATAAATAGGTGACGTTGCTTCATCTCTGATTTTACTTAGAGGTGGTTAGATGAATATACCACGTTGACAGAGAAGGTTATTGAATGCTAAGTTGTGTGATTTGATATATCTAGGGAGGTAGTAGGTGAAAGGGTTGGTGTTTGGATGTTATGGATTGTTAATGTGGTGTTGAATCGTCGTGCTACGTTAGTGATCTCATCGTATCTCTTCAAAATCTCATGCGAATCTGTTTTTACCTTTCTTGCTATCCTTCATTTTAAATTACTAAATACTTTGGAATTCGTGTCTGAGTTTTAATGCCTTTGATTGTAAAGTTATGTAACTATGGTTAATGAGTTTTGTTTCTGTATCAATAGTATCATGAAATATTCAAGTAGCTACAAGTCTTTCATGTTAATATTTGTATAATGAGTTTGGTTACCATGTTTTGAATAATATTTGCTTATGATTTCACTCAGGCACGTTTCCTTTGTTAAATTCAACAGTTTACTCATTTTTTGCGACAGAAATATTCAAATCTATAGAAATCCTGGTCCTACATCATTTGCAGCTGGCAACTGGCAGCTGCAGACAGCCGATTTCGGACGATAGCAACCATGGTATACCCCTACACCGATCATTAAGTTATACATTCATAGGGATTTATGCCCAGCAACCACATGTTTTCAACCCCGTCACTGTTACAATCAGTAGGAAAAGGGTTGCCCGGCAGGTGCATGAAACAGATAACAGGACACCGGTGGTACCTACCCCTCGATACGGCCGAAGGCGGCAGCAGCAATTGGATGTTTTGTCCTTTCCCCGGAAATATTTGTAGACCTTCCTTTTTAATTTATTTTCTCTCATAAATCCCCAAGAAATAAGCTTTTTTCAACAACACCTACCACAAAGCTGGTAGTAAGGCGATAACGATGAGCGAATCAAAGGAGAAGGGCGGATGCAAGTCCGGTTGCTGTTCTCCTCAACCTAAAATTGAACCCAAACCTGAACCTGAACCTGAAGTTCAGAAGAACAACGACAGCTGTGCCTCAGGTTGCTGCGCTGGCGACAAAACCTCGAAAACTGTTGAAGAGGACGACTGCTGCAAGCCATCAATTGAGGAAGACGGCTGTCAATCTGATGACGAATGTTGCAAGCCGGCGAAGCCAATTGAGGATTCCGGTTGCCAGGATGGATGCTGTAAGCCTAAGGAAAAGCCGAGCACCGTCGTTGATACTTGTTGTCAACCCACGACCTCAATCACGGCCCCCGCCTGCTCAAGTGGATGCTGCGGACCCAAAGACGGGCAAGACGACAAGGACAGTTGCTGCGAACCTGCAGAGTCCATCGCCGACGATTGTTGCAAAGATAGTTGCTGTGACGCCAAGGAAGAAGTGAAAGATGATTGCTGCAGCCCACCAAGTGAGGTTACACAGGACAACGATAGCTGCAAAGATGCATGCTGCTCTACTTCTAAGTCTGATGAAGTTGAGCCGTCTTGTTGCCAGGGTAAACAGAAACCATGCTGCGACTGTAAGTCGATTGAAGATATGTTCCATTTAATAAACGGAGCGACGACGCTAACTAATACCATCAAGCAACCTGTATTGACCGACTCGTCCTTCGAGAGACCTCTTTTGAGAAGCGAGGTAAATATCGTAATACCCATCTTTGATTGAACGATTCTGATTTTCTCTTAGGCGATGATTCGACAATTAACTCTAGCCAGAATTCATCTTCTCCCAAGGCCAAGTCAATCCGCGAAAGATACGAGACTAGACTTGCTGCTCTAGGGTGTCTCTGCCGAGCACTCGTCGCTTTAGGCCAGGAGTCATGTTGCGCAACTTCCGAACTTTCCTCCGAGGAAAGAAAGCGTGGTCCCAAGAAAAGCGTCAGACGACGATCTCAAGAGAAACTTGCTTCAGCATGCAACTCGAAATCAGGAGGTTGCTGCTCAAAGCCCCCGAAGCGAAAGCCTTCGCCTTCAGGATCCCAACGTAGCAAGTCTTGTAAAAAGGGCTGTTGTGGTGGAACAAAGGAGAATATCAGTATCACGCCCGTAGATGATTGTTGCTCCGGAGGTCCAGCCCCTGCGAAAAGTAAATGTCAGCAGGATATGGATATCATTGCCGACAAAAAAGGGAACGAAGACATTAGAATTACCAGTCTTGAGAAGGGCCTATCTGGTACCGAAAATGTCGTGATTGGCATTTCGGGAATGACCTGCACGGGATGTGAGACCAAACTTCGGCGAACGTTGGGTGACGTTAAGGCTTTGAATAACCTCAAAACAAGCTTGGTCATGGCTAGGGTCCAGTTTCAACTGGACCTTAGTCTAGCGACACCAGAAGATGTCATGAAACATATTGAAAGAACAACCGAGTTCAAGTGCGAGAGAATTGTAACCCACGGATCGACGCTCGATGTTATTCCTCATGGGGGAGCGAAAGAGTTCATGAAGCAATCTCTGCCTCTGGGGGTAGAAAACTTGGATCTCATCGATGACCAAACTGTTCGCATCATTTTTGACCCAGAAGTTATTGGGGCTCGGGACCTTATTAATAAGGGATTTGATACTCCTCCAAATCTTGCCCCTCCGCAAGTCGACCCGTCCCTGGCTGCAGGAAGCAAGCATGTACGACACATGGGTTGGATGACCTTGCTATCAGCAGCTCTGACTGTGCCCGTCCTGGTTTTGGCTTGGGCTCCATTGGAAGATCGCCCTGTTACATATGGCAGTGTGTCTCTAGCCTTGGCCACCATTGTTCAGGTCGTCATTGCAGGACCATTCTACCCCAAAGCCTTGAAGAGCTTAGTTTTCTCCAGGGTTGTAGAGATGGATCTTTTGATCGTCTTGAGTACCACTGCGGCATATGTATTCTCGGTAGTTTCGTTCGGATATCAAGTGAGTGGGCAACCTCTCTCGACAGGTAACTTCTTTGAGACGAGTACCTTGTTGGTCACTCTGATCATGGTTGGCCGGTGGGTCAGCGCCCTTGCCCGCCAGAAGGCCGTGGAATCCATCTCTATTCGTACCTTACAAGCTTCTACGGCGACTTTGGTTTCTAGCGATGGTACCGAGACCGACATTGATACTAGACTACTCCAGTACGGGGATATCTTCAAAGTCGCCCCTCACGCACAGGTTCCTACAGATGGCGTCATCCTTTCTGGAGTAACAGAGACAGACGAATCAATGCTGACAGGTGAATCGCGCCCTGTTGAGAAAAAACAAGGTAGCACGATCATTGCTGGGTCTCTCAATGGCTCTGGTACCATCACAGCACGTCTCACTAAGTTACCTGGGGAGAACACCATTAGTGCTATCGCAGGAATGGTCGATGATGCCAAACTTTCTAAACCCAAAATCCAGGACCTAGCTGATCGGGTTGCATCGTATTTTGTCCCAGTTATCATTTCCCTGACCTTAATAGTATTTGTTGCCTGGATTGGTGTAGGAATCCGCAATCAAGGAAAATCAGGAAACGACGCTGTCGTACAGGCGATAACATACGCTATCACTGTCCTTATAGTATCTTGCCCTTGTGCTATAGGCTTAGCTGTTCCTATGGTAATTGTTATCGCCTGCGGTGTTGCGGCAGAGAAAGGGCTTGTCTTCAAGACAAGTGAGGCTGTGGAAATAGCCCACAAGACTACACATATTGTGTTTGATAAAACTGGCACATTGACACATGGAAAGCTCTTTACAGCAACCGAAGAGTACCTATCAGAAACTCAAAAGGTTGTTGCTCCGAAGATCTTAGGTCTCTTAGCTAATATTAACCACCCGGTATCATCTGCCGTCGCAGCTCACCTGAAGAGTCAGGGTGTCCACGCTGTCAAGGTTGACGAAATTCAATCTCTTCCAGGCAAAGGGGTCCAAGGTAAAGTCAACGGAATTTCCATTCAAGCCGGCAACCCCCACTGGCTTGGACTTGAATCCCACCCCGTCGTGCAAGCTGCGCGCTCGAAAGACTTCAGCACTTTCTGCGTAACTATCAACTCGGAACTCCAGGCCGTCTTCGGCTTAACCGACACCGTCCGCCCGGACGTACTCGTCACCATCGCGGAACTACAGAAGCGAAACATTTCCGTGTCGATTCTAAGCGGTGATGATGACAGAACCGTCGAGGCCGTAGCTGCCGCTGTGGGGATTCCTAGGGAAAACGCTATCTCGAGATGCTCACCCGCCGACAAGCAGGCTTACATCCAGAAACTCCTAGAAACGGGAAGCCAGAACAGCGACAAGAAAAATCAAAAGAAGCCAGTCGTCGTCTTCGTAGGCGACGGCACCAACGACGCCGTAGCTCTAGCGCAAGCTACCATCGGCGTGCACGTCAACTCGGGCGTCTCGGACGTCGCCCAGTCCGCCGCCGACGTCGTGCTCATGCGCCCCGACCTCGCCGGCGTGCTCGCCATGATCGATATCTCGCGCGCTGCCGTCCATCGCGTCGTGTTTAATTTCGGCTGGAGCGCCGTTTATAACGTCTTCGCTATCTTGCTCGCCGCCGGCGCGTTCGCGGATACCGGTAGGGAGGTCAGGATCCCGCCGGAGTTTGCGGGGCTTGGGGAGCTGGTTAGTGTGTTGCCGGTTATTGTCGTTGCTGTTAGTTTGCGCTGGGCTAGGGTTTAGGGGCCGTTTTGCTGGTGTGCTTGTGGGAATGTGTGAAGATGGATGGGTGATGGGATGATAGGAGGGTGGGATCTACGCTCGCCATTGAGGCTACGAGGAAGAGATAGCTGGGATTTCGGGTCGATGGTTTATGATGAAGCCCCTATTCGCAAGGGCAATATACGGATTCTATATCCGTGAATTTTCTTTCTTTGCACCTGGTCTTGAGGTGTCTACTATCTATGGGAATGCAGATTGTGGTTGACTTTATTCCGATGAGTTTATTAAACACATCGCAACTTAACATAACACAAGATATAGCTGGCTTAGGTTTGCGATGAATATATTTGTTATTTATCGTGGCTATAATTTTACTGGATGTCTGGAAAGACTAGTGTTGTGAGATGTTTTGAATGATTATACCTGAGTCTTTGAATTATTGCGTCCCCTCTAGTGTTTAACTATTACATGATGGCTCCGTTGATATTAGGCATTTGTTTCTATGATAAAGTGCGTGTGCTGAGTTACTAAAATGGCACTTCTCTTCAGGGGTTCTCTGTCCTTGCCCCTTCCCCTTATTTTTAATAGCTACCTAGGAGTTGACTATTAAGAATATATCCCATATATGGATTCATTTATGACACTTAGGGGTCACTGTTTAAACTAACGATCGAGGTACAAAAGAGCAACGGGTAGCAAAATAAATCCTAGCATTACACTTTTGTATTTAATATGTTGGTAATGAGAATTTTATGAAAACTTGGCAAATATTGGTTAATATGAGAAAAGATAGGTACCTATACGAAGCCTACCTAGGTAGCTTTCCGCCATACTGGTACCTATTAGGTACGTTATATCTTTAGAGGACGAGTGTATTATATTTTATAGTAATTACCGAGCACCATAAGCCCATAATTTAATTATCAATATTTCTTATGTTAATGTCAACATCTCCAACCCTTGTCGACGCCCACGTCTATCAAACAATACGTCATACGATGATCCCGAAAATAGTCACATCAAATCACCGTTCCAAGGTAACATACTTTGATTACCACGTTCTCGGATACAACATTACGGAGTATCTGGAGTAATCATAACATCGATAATATGTAACGAAAGGGATGCCGCCACAGCTAACCGAAATATCAACATCAGAAGCAGGGAGCGCGGAAAACCTATCAAGCCACCGCGTAAATATCGATGTTATCTCATCTCTCGAAATCGAAATAACCCCATCGATCCCGCCTGAATGGTCCGGGTCGAAAGGTGCCCGGTCTGATTTGCTAGTCCCTGGCCCCCAGTCTGCCTTCGGTTCTCTTGGCCCATCTCAATAACATCCTTATTATCGACCCCAGCAAGAGACCTACCACCACCACCGTAATAACCGAGCGAACCAGCAGCACGTAGACATGTATGTAGATCTATCAGATTTTCGCAGCTGGCCCCCAAACACACAAATGCGACCCCGGGTTTTCGCAGCGAGGGAATGACAAAAAAAGAGGCGGTGAAACCAACCGTCTCCTCGGACATCATCATCGTCGTTCGTTTTCCCCCAAGGGCGCAGATACGTACATACATCCATGCGTAGAAGCACGGAAAGGGTTGCTGCTGTCAGCATCTGGTACCCAACCACAGCGCGGCCATCCCACGTGTTGCGAGCGAATGTATGTACCCCGTGTTAGGATTTTACGACCCTCCCCTTCCCCCCCTACTCCATCACTCTCGCTCGCTCCCGCACTTACCTGTGCCCTATTCCTTATCACGCTCGAATATACCGGTGACAGATCGGGGTTATGTGAGATAGGTGCGTGGAGGGGGTATAGCGGTTGTCTGCTATTTCGTTACCTGTCACTTTTTCCGAACGCGGTTCTGCTCGGAATCGGCTGCGGTGCTGGTATGTTCGGGTCGGCCCTTGTGTATACATATTACATGTCTACCTACTAGGTAGATACACACTTCGCATCTTATGTACCTCCTCAGCCACGGTAGTATTTTTTATGTTTTGTTTTTGCTCGAAAGTGAGCTTTCGCCCACTTAGATCGTGTTCGTGCTCGTAGTAGTATGTAGGTAGGTAGGTATGTATGTATTATCAAGCAGCGAGCCAGCTTAACGATCCCGAATCCCCATACGAGATACGACACCGTATACCCTGCTTATACCCACGTCCGTCCGTCCTCGTAAGCCACGCCGTAATATGTATGTAGGTATGTATGGAATTCTATCTGCAGAAATATGACCAAAGTTCCGTACTTACCTCTTACATAGATACATACTTAATGTAATTTAAAAAAAAAATATTAAAAAATACCTAATAAAAAACTGCACAGCTAAATCTCAACAAACGCAACAGGGATACGGATCCACTGTCGCGGAATCGGGAGTATGGAGAGCCTCGGAGGTTTTTTCCTTGATTAACCTGCCTCTCTGCCTGCCAGCCTGCCTAGCTTGCTTATTCCAGGCAAGTCTGCCGAAAGGGGAAACCCTCCCGTCCCTCTCGCATTCTCTCTCTGTTAACAACCTGCAGTATCTACTTAGCGGCCTAGTATGTAGGTATGTATATAGGTAATTGGTAATAGGTAATAGGTATGGATGTATGGACGTCAACGACTGACTCCGCGTCGAATAAACGTGGAAGCTCACGCGCCGGTTCCATTTCATTGGTAATGTAGGGCTGAGTCAGATCGTCGTGCGTTATATGTGTGAGTCTGCGTGTCTGCGTGTGGTGGTGGGTGGTGGTAAGAAAGCCAGACAGACAGACACGCAGGAGTAGGCATGTATGTAAGAAGATGAGATGGTGTGGTCCACCCCCTCGTGGGAATTACGTCGCGCGCTCTGGCTCGGACATCGTGCGCACCATTACTTGCCGTATTATTGCAGTTATTACATACTCCATTTCCGTCCCGTTGGATCCGAACTCCTGGATCGCGAGGTATGATGGGCGTTAGGTAGGTAGGTAGGTTTGAGGCAGCGTGCCATACGTACATACATACATGTCTACCTACATACGCTATGATAGGTATGCCAGTTATACACATGTGCCTTGGATATGTACGTAGATGCGTGGAATACCACCCTGCTACATATGCCCTATTATACCAACGCACATACATATCTACATACATACCATACATACAATTAGGTAAGAAGGTAGGTGGGCGATGTACACGCATAACCACGCGCGCACCCATAAAGTACATCCATTCGCGCATACATACACCTACATACACATTACATATGCACACCAGCTACATCTCCATACTAGCGCTGGCTACCTACCTATATGACAGTTAACAGTACCTACCTAGGTATCCAGCCAAGTAAGGAAGAGAGACAGAGCCTAGTCTAGACCGATCTATCCCGTTTATTATGAATATCCCGAGCTGAGTAATACCTACATCTACAGCAGCACTACAACAGCACAGACAGCAGCAAAAGTTCCCTGCAAAACCAAAAACATAAAAAAAAAGGATCCGCCGTCTTGGTTTTTGTATGGAAAAGATCGATGAGAAGAGATAGATCGCGTTGTTTTTCTCCTCCATCGTGCATCATTACCAGCTTTCCTGCTTATCTGGCATCGATGACACAGTACCTACTTACCTACATACCAGGGAAAACCGAATATACTACGTAATGCGTGGGATCGAGCTAGGTAAGATTTGATCATCAAGGGTTAAAGCTTAGCAAAGGGCAGTCAAGGAACTTGCCGTGGCCTAGTTAGCTTCTAGGGAGTTCGTTAAGGGGTGATAGAGCGAGAGGCTTAGATTCGTAAGTGGAGGGTGTCATGTTACTACCGCACTCCCTTGCTTGGGATGCGTATTCCTCGCCTTTGATGGTTCGGAGATCTGAGAAGCCGGGGGTTGGAGCTGTCATTTGTCGAGCTGAGAACGTGCAGATCTCGCATATTTCGTGAACTACCTACTGTCGATCTCCAAGTTAATATTGCCTATCGGCGTATCCTCCGCCTTGCCCTCCATCGATCTCAGTGTCACGTATGTAATTCAGTCGGATCTATTCTGGTCTGACAAATCGAATAGCGAATTTTTATTTCCAAGCGAGTACTGATTTGTATTACCCTGTTGCGCTTTGATGCTTTGCCTTTCGCGCGCAACTCCCGCCTAGAGTGACTAAATGTAACAAGAATCGGTAGCGGTTTCTCTCAACTCTCTTCTTTCTCTCTTTCTGTCTCCCTTTCTGCGTCTCTCCCTCTCTCGCGGTGGAGTAGAGGGATACCCGAGCTCGATACACGAAAGTCCTAGTATCCCGTATGCAAATTTAGCCCTCCTAAAAGAAAAAATAAACACAAATCCCAGGAAGGAAAACAATAGCAGTTCATGGAGAATAGACAGACAGCCACACCCGGACTCAATCAATGAGCACAGAGGTCTAACCATCTCCCCTGATCGAATAAATCCGTTTCGATCATAATCAATCACTGTAACCCAGAGCCCAAAACGATGACAGCGACATTATTCAAGAGCAGTGATACGAAACAGAGTAAACTCCTCCTATGCTGACTAACTGTTAAGTGCGTTGCTTCCGGTGTCCCCATGAAATGTAACATAAAATCGGTGACACAGGGGTGAATAACATAATGAGGTTAGGAGAACAACGGAGAAACGTAGATAAGGTAAAAATAATTAGCAAAAAGACCTCCCTAGCCCATATCCAAAAAAAACAGTACCCCCCGCCATTTATGCATATGCGACGACCATGTAAGTGATTAGCGTAGGAGATGATAATGACAGCTAAGCTTGTCACAATGGGCAGTCCCCGACGCCCTAAATCCATATGCACGGCCAAGCTCCCACAAGGCCATTTAAGTTAATATCGATGGTCAATTTCCTACAGCCCCTGACAGGTCTCCTCGAGCTTGGAAACCAAGGGAGTAGAACCGTGCCTTGGAAGACCGGGGAGTCGACCCCTATTTATGGTCGGTATCGTATAACAGAGGGTAAGGCGTATGCCAAACCTCCAGAATCTCGCCTGATGGCTAATCACGAGATGGTATGTAATCCACGACTTGATAAACCAAGCGGGTTGAGAGCATTCGTGGTGTAAAGGGGTATCGCTGAAAAAAAGCAAAACGACTAATTCTGTAACCGTCTTGGAGAAACGAATGAAGGACGGTTTGTAAGACGACAGTGTAAAAACGACGAAAGGCCGTGCTGGTATCAAGTGTATATGCAAATGCCGCCCGAGAACTGAGTTTCGACAAAAATGATCGGCTCACTGTAAACCTCACAATGTAGCGTAAATTGCAAAATGGAACCTGCCGAGCCCTGGTATGCCCGAATGAACGTGAATCCGGCGAATCACCCGAAAGAACTGTGAAAAAAGGACTATTCTCCGACTCCTCTATTACTGGGCCAAGCCGAATAGCGCAAGTAGGGATATAGCCTCCGCTAAATCAAAGGACCATCCCGATGATGCGAATGCTATGGCTCGATTTAGAGTTCCCCCCTGTAAACATACAGTACCGAAAGAGACCTAAATATGCCATCGGTTATGACAACTATTCCGGCGCTTCATCCCGTGGAGATTACTTCCCCAAAAGCGATCACTGAGGTTGGTTTGGCCACCAGGCACCGCCAGCCGATGTTTGCGGGTTATTCCAAGCGGAGGTTACTGCCGGGCCCGGTCCCGGGTTCTGTGGCATAAATTGCCTGGGCGTTTGCTCAGGAGGATACATCCCTTGTCCGGCGTTGGGATAGCCCTGATTCAGGCCTGGCATGCCATGGTACTGCATGGTGCTAGGCTGCATCTGGGGGGTGCCTCCTGAGTGACGCATCTGAGGAGCCGGCGACTGTTGAGGGTGCGGCGAGGGTTGCGACTGGGTCGTATACCCGGGATAGTGCTGAGGCGTCTGGGGTGTCTGAGGTCCCCACATCTGATTCGAAGAACCGTAGTTGTACGCTGGTGTGCCTTGAGACATATTACTAGAGGCACCCGGTTGGATGTTGGATGGTCTCGGCTGCTTCTGAGAAGACGGTTGAGGTACTCCTCGCATCGGAGTCTGATTCATCGGTTGCTGGGAGTGAATGGACTGCGAATACGGGGGCGCGGTCATCATCATCTGCGGGCTCTGGTTCTGTACGATACCGGACGAATGCATAGTTGCCGGCGCGGTATGGGGCGACTGGCCGGGACGCGTCGTGGGGAGGGGTGCCTCGGTGGTAACAGGTTGGCTAGTGGCCGGCTGCTCGTGAGGTCTCCGCCACAGGTTGTTTATATAATCAGAGCGCATTTCGCGTCCTTGGTTGACGGATCGGTTAAATTCGGCAGCATGATGCGCCTGCTGGTGTATTTCCGAGATGGGACTCGATTGCGTCCTGTCCTGGTAGGCCGAGCCGGTAATCTCCTGTCGAGGGCCACCCTTGATGAAATTGCTGTAGTCTCGAGTCCTCGTATCGTTCAGATCTGGTCCTACTGTTATCATGGGCATTCTGGTCGAGCTTCCTGGCGGTCCCATCATACCTGGTTGAACAAGCGGTTGCGGTGCACCAGCAAATTGGGGGGTATTCGCATATACAATCTCACCGTGAGGCCCTCCCGGAAGTGGTGCCATGTTGTTATTCGCCTCAGCCGCCGCTTCTCTAGCTTTAGATGCGCCAGGGCGCTTTTCTCCCGCGAGGTCGGCTTCAGTAAACCCTTGCTTCCTCGCCTTCTGCTCCCAGTAATCATCGCGCACTCTCCGTCCGTTGACTATGACCCTGCTTCCAAATTGTCTGAACATCGATCGCGCCGTGACAATTGCTATCTGCCTTGATCTGTAAGAGAACGGAAGTATCTCCTGCGAAACCAGATCATCCTTCTCTACTTGGTTTGCGATAATCTTGAATAGGGATCTATTCTTGTTGAAGAGCAAGTAAGAATCTCTGTATCCGAGTACCCTCGCGCACTCCGTCGCCAACATGAACAATTTATCCCCGCGGTTAGGTACGAGGAAAGTTCGGCATCGGTACTCACGACCCCCTAGAAGTTGACCGTTAGACATGACCTTCTTCTCGCCGGACTCGTCAATTTCGCGCGGCAGGTATTCGTCACCACCGGGACCGAGCTGGTCGGTGGTGTGGTCGCGTACAGTTGGCAATGCCTTCAAGGTTGTCTTAGTGGGCGTGGTCTTCGGCGGGGGCGACGCCTGGGCCGGGGTATAGTTGCCTTGCTGGCCCGGTAGCGAGGCATTTTGAGACTGAGGAGTCTGCGGCGGTATTGACTGCGACATTTGAGTGGGTGGGGGAGGGGGAGGAATCGGGGTTTGATTTGTTGTTTCTAGGAGGTCACCGGCAAGTCGCGATTTCATCGGTCTGCCGCGTTTTCTAGGTTGCTTTGAATCACCTATTATGCGACGAGCGGGATTAGCAGGTACTTCCTTGTGGCAGGCTGTCGCACGACAACTTGATGTAACATGACCACGATGCGCACACAACGGCAACCATAAGCCAGAACAGCTACACAAAGCGAGACGGGGCGGCTTACCATCATCTCCGGGGTTATCAGTCGTCGGCACGTCGTGATAAGAATCCGGGGAACGGCTTCGCTTAATACCTCGGGAGGTTGGATTCAATAGCTCTGTGTAATTAAAAAAAGGCGTCGGATTAGCAATCGGGTAGCTAAACGACAACGCGACAATTAAACTAAATGGATCATGGTTTGGAAATTATGCGCCAGGCGTAAGCCATCGCGACGATGATTGCTCCAACCAAAAGTCGCGTCCGGTTGTGTTCCGTATGTGCTCTGAGCTCTGAGCTTTGAAGCTTGGTTTATGTCGGGATGAGAGGCGACAGGCGACGGGTAAATGACGAGGCCGATAATGATGACGATCGTCGGCAAAGCAGGGTGAGATAGGTAGGATATGTGCGAGGGCGGGTAGGGGCAAGCTTCAAGGCTCAAGCTATCGAGCAAACGGATATCATGGCGCTTTATGGCAAAGCGCGAGGCGCAAAAGGAGGAGGTTGGTTCGATGAAAAAGGAGAGGCTCGGATTAAATGCGCGAAAGACGCAAGATGCAAGACGCAACACAAGAGACGATCCAAACATGAACTACTCACCAGAATTGAGAGCGGCAGGGTTGATAGTTGCGGGATTGATGGTCGCACCCTCAGCGCCGTTAGGCTGGGTGGAATACATTCGGGCGGACGACGATGCGATGTTGCACGTCAGGCGGCGGAAGAGACGTGGAGAAAGCTGTGCCTGCAGAGCGACGTGTCTTGATATAGTTGGACTAGAGAAAAAGGGCGGAGGAAGTGTGAATGACGCGCGCAACAAGGCGAGGGTAGTAGATCTTGGAAAGATGGCAAAGTGTGCTTGCTTCGAGGGGAACGATGCAGGATTACTCTTGCATTTGGTTGGTAGATTGGCGCAAACCCAAGTTCCAAGTCTTTCGTATCGGGGGTCGGGGGGGTCTTGAATTTAGGAATACCTAGCTCATGTAGTTATGTACCCTAGATACCTAGGTACCGTCCTTACACGCTGCCCAGGTGGTAGGGGGAAATATAAAAAAAAAAACGCTATGTATGTAATGATGTAGTATATGTAGCAGTATATGTAGTGTACCCGAGAAATGTAGGTGGAACGCAGATGTATGTAGGTTAAGGGATGTGTAGCGCATGTATGATGTACTTATAACCGGACCCACAGGTACCTAGCTCGGTACGACTGTAATGACCAAGTGGGTTTTGGCCCGTCGACGAATGATATGCAAACGATTGATCTCGGGTGGGATCCTTTCAAATAAAGTGTAGTATGTGTAGTATGTATGTAAATCTCGATAATTCGACAATTCAAACGCGATGCTTGTGATGCTTGTTCGCGCAATGAAAAGACGAAATGGTGTAGTAGTAGTAAAAGAAGAAGGGGAAGAATATTAATTCGAAATATCCTTCGTTCATATTTTTTTTTTCAGTTTCTCTCACTCTTCTTGTTTTCTTGCTCTTTACTTTTTTTTTTAATTCTTCCTTGTCGTATATGCTGTGTATATCGTATGGTATACCTTAGGTAGTAAGGTATAGCTAATAGTTAAGTTCCGGGTTCTGATGTCGGGTTTGTTCAGCTGTCGTTTCGCCTCTTCTTTTGCTCCGGAACAGAGTTGCCCCCTTCGTAAAGTCCGCAAGGCTCTTATAATGGTTTTTCTTCTTCTTCTTTTACTACCTAGTAATGTGGGACCGGGGAAAGGATTGATCTCTTCTCCTGATCGGAGGGGTAATAATTACCTGTTAGTCAGAGGACTCCAACGCTTTAAGGCTGGATGGAGCAATATGGAGCAGACGGTAATTAACAAGGCGCGTAGGAGATTATTCTTCACGCGCAAGGCTCGCGTCTGTGGGATATAACCTGGAATGAAGCAACAATAATAGTGATGAAGTTATTATTCTGTCTTGCTTCCAAGTTTCAGATGTCGTTGAATCGCTGCTCCTCCGAGAACTATCGCAAATCGCAATGATAGGCACGGACAGACCAGGACAAGGGCAGGCTGCGAGTTAGAATCTGGGGTGTGTGGTGTGGCAGCGGATGGCAGCAGTATGTACAAACAGAAGTTGATAACGACTGGACGAGCCTGGCGGGCGCGGCACCTGTGCGAAAGAGATGGATGGGTGGATCGACGGGTAGCCAAGCCCAGGTTGCCCAAGTGGTGTCCTTCCTTTGCCGGACTACCTCTTTCGGGCCAGTTGACTAGAATAACAGTAGCTACCTCCTAGGCAACTAGAGCCGTAGACTATTTGTCTTTTCGAAGCTGGAGGTGGCGCTTCTAAGCTTTTGTCGGTTACTGCTGATGGAGAAAAGGGTTTCGGTTTAGATCCTCTTTTTGGGGAAACACTATTAAGAAACGATGATGTACGGCGTGTAGATGTGAGTGTATCTGTGCATGGTATGTATGTAGGTATGTAAGTGAGTGTGTGTGTGAGTGTATAAGATTTCCATGCGTTTGAACGTTGCAACCGTTGTGGAAAAGAAAAGACGCGAAGTAGTATAGCGGCATGTATGAGGTATGTAGGTATGTAAGTATAGGTGTAGGTATGTGTGTGTTAATGCGAGTGTTTAAAGTGTTAAATGTCGTTAATGGATGTGAGTATAATGCGGTTTAGAGCTCAAGACGCAAACGCAAGAGCGGGTATGCAAGTGTTGAATAGGGCCAGATACGGGTTTATCTTCAAAAGAGCCCCGCGACCCAGGATCATTATTTTAGATGATGGAACATGGAACATGGAACATTAAACTCGAATAAAAATGGACAGGTTAAGATAGTCGGAAAGCGCGCAGCATGGACTACATGAGCTACATGGGCAGCAAGAGAGTAACAAAATGCGACCATAAATTCAATGGGGACCAAGAGGATGGCGAATGATGATGAATAACAGTAATCAGCAACGCCGAAAAGAGCGGCCGAAAATATCAAGGGTCCCTGCGATTTCCCTACGATTTCCCTGAGATAGAGCAGGGGGGAAGGGGGGGAAGAGAGTAGACCGGGGGTCGTGCAAGCCCAGACGCAGACAAGGGCAAGGGGCTTGTGAACGGGGGCGCCTTGCAAGGGTAGCCCTTGTCGAGAAGCAGCTGGGCAACTAGGCAGCCGGGGGGATGAGCAAATGAGAATAAATCTTAGGAAGTTGCTAGGGATGGATAGAGAGAACGCATAGTTCGTCGCTAAAAGCCTCTAGATCTTCGAGTGTGGCAATAATTGTCGCGAAAGGGGATAGAGAAATATGATATCTTATTAAATTCTATCTCTCGAATCCGACGAGGCTCGACAATATATCCCTTACCCTTATCATCAATCACGAGCTTGACTAGGTAGTCAGCCCGTAATTCGCAAGTTCGTATTGGCAGCCAGCCGGAGTCATGCTCAGCCTTACATATGTATGTTTGGTAGCTCGGTAGATTGGTTAATTGGGCTGCTCGACGATCAAGTTGTTAAGTGTTAAAGATACATTCCTCTCTATCGATCGAAAAAATAACTGACACTGTGGAATTCTACCCGAGGTCGTTGGATCCCAACTTGCAGACAAGGTCCAAGGGAAGCTTTCAGGACGGTGATGTGATCCGGACTTTGGACTTTGGATTAAACAGTTGAATCAGGAATATTCTAACTGGGCGCCACAGATGATTCATACCTAGCCAAAAATGGAAGTACATCGGTGTCTACATGCTGCATCTCATGCTACTATGTACCGATGCTACATCCAGTTGCAAAGAAAAGAGCAAGTAGGAACATTAAACGACATCCATAGCATATGCTGTTGTGGTAGCACAAAAGCGTGGGTAAAGTTACCCAAGCTGGTTAAGCTCCGCAGTAGCGTACTGTTGATTTTATCGAGAATTATCTTGGTAATACCAGCGCTGAGGTATGTATGTATGTATATTGTATATCACATTTACTCCCTCATGCGTAGATCCAGGAAGTTTGAGGGCCAGTCGCCGACAAGGTTGATGTGCTTGTTATTGTCACCGGCATCCCGTCTAAGCTAGGAAGACGAAAGCTGAAAACTGAAAACTGAAAATACATACCGGTGGCTGAAATCGGTATACTTGGGAATACCTGATATTCCTGATATTCCAAGCTGGTCAGCAGCTGGCCGGACCCCCAACATGTAGCCACGATGTTACAGTTTGCCCAACTCGTCGGGTAAGAGATGGAAGTTAAAAGGTAGAATATAGGTAACTTCGAATAGCTTAACGAGCTATTAAGAATGATAAGTCGACCAAATAAAACGTGTACATGTATCTTTGGTGTCTTAGTTCCAAGTAATACTTGTATGCTGTCGCACATAGATAGCCTTATTATAAGACTGCGTACCAGGTATGTAGCCCTAGATATTAAGGACGATTCGCTACTCTGGGCTAAATGCCGATTCATTCGATAGGTACGATGCGGCATAGGATTCGGCATGATACAACGACAGATCGCGCATTCTATTACTATCGCACAAGCGTCTAGTATGGATCGGACATGGCTACCTTGAGCTACTGTATGTATGTAGGCAGTTGTGTTTCGAGGAACTTTTTTTATTATCCTAGTTCAGACGTTGAAAGTCATTTCATTAAGTTGCGAGTACCTACTAACGTTACATAAAAATTAGTACATAATTAGGTACAGTAGCTTCCAGCTTAGTTCCATCGGTGCGTCGGTGGAGTTGCGGGAAGATTTGACCCGGCCGAATGTTTCAAAGACCGGGAGCCTCTCTCCCAATTAATTGATCGTTGTGGAAGGTGGAAACGGCCGTGAACCATGCATAGGAGAATAGAATTAAACATTGAGAAGAGAATTTTAAAAACAAAAATCAATAATTTAACTTTACTAGGTAGTTCTAAGCTGCAGGCACAAGTATCCTGCTCAAGTTCCAAAATCAATCGTTGACAAGGTTTGCGCTTGTGAGTAAAAAATGGTGAGCCGCAGTTCCCGATATTTTCTCGGCGCTTCTTCAATTTAACAAATTTCTTATTTTCGACAATTGAGATATCGGCTCAGCTCCTCTCAACTTACATACATACATACACAAATATTTATAAACACCCACGAAATTGCCTCTTACGGAACTCTTTGCTGGCCATTGTGGAGCAACGGCCCGGACAATCACGAGCACATCCTGATCGACCTTCAACACTCGAATAGGTTTCGAGTGCACACGATAGCAATGCAGAGTCTCACTCACCAAATCTACTAATACCATTCTACCAGTCGTAGACCTACTTGTCAATAACACCAGTTCAGTGGATATTATCATCTGCCAATCTAAGCAAAAAGAAAAGAGCAATTCTTCAACATGTGGCTAGATACTAGGTACAGCTGAATATCAACACCACGAAATGTATATACGAGTGGTAAGTTATATTTTATTAGTTGCTGCGACGGAGACTACTAAGACTATTAAAACAACTACCCGCGAATAAAGCCACTTACTACATGTAGGTAGGTAGGTACCTGTTTGGGTATTGCATGCGCATGGCATGGCATAGCATAACTAATAAATCGGTAGCTGTATGGTGAGACTATCCGAAAGGGCAACCATGGCTAAAGAGGTATCTTCTCCGCCGACTCCAGCACCTGGGCATTCCAACAATCATCCTGATAATAAAACGACAAGATGAGCGTGCCGCCAAAACGCGAAAATCATCATCATGTAAGCCTGCGTGCG